AGTCCTGCGGGCCCAGGGTCTGAAGGGCAGTGCAGGCTCCAGGAGGCTGGCTGGCTTGGTGGTGGGAGCAGTGATTGGGGGTGTAGGTGCCATTGGGATTTTCAACTAATTCTCATTTGCTGCACCTTCTTGTAGCTTTTAATAATTTTCTGCTGTGTACAAGTGTCACATTTATGTCTTTCTGTGATCTGGCAGCCTGGGGAGCTCTTTGCAGGGATCTTTCCTGGTCTGTTTGTTTTTTTAATGCTTTATCATGGTATAGTTCACACACAACATAACTGCACTTTTTTTTTTTTTGAGACAGAGTCTCACTCTGTTGCCTGGGCTAGAGTGCCGTGGCATCAGCCTAGCTCACAGCAACCTCAGACTCCTGGGCTCAAGCGATCCTCCTGCCTCAGCCTCCCGAGTAGCTGGGACTACAGGCATGCGCCACCATGCCCGGCTAATTTTTTCTCTATATATTTTCAGTTGTCCAGCTAATTTTTTTCTATTTTTAGTAGGGACAGGTCTTGCTCTTGCTCAGGCTGGTCTCGAACTCCTGAGCTAAAACAATCCACCTGCCTTGGCCTCCCAGAGTCCTAGGGTTACAGGTGTGAAAATAACTGCACATTTTTAATGTATACAATGCGAATACTTTCAACACATGCACAGACCCAGGACATTGTCTCACCAACCAGACGTCCTAAGTGGGTGTCCCTGTCCCCGTGTGCAACCCTCCCTCCCCTTGCCCACACCCAAGTGCCACCCACCTGCTTCTGTCCCTGTGATTATCTGCTGTTTTCTAGGGTTTTCTATTAATGGAATCAAGCACTAGGTACTTTCTGAGACGAAGGCTCTGGCTTCTTTTACTCAGCACCATTATTTTGAGATTCATCCATACGTAAATCAATAGCTCATTGTTTAAATTGCTAAATGCCGCCTGTAATCCTAGCACTCTGGGAGGCGAGGTGGGCGGATTGCTGTAGGTCAGGAGTTCGAACCAGCCTGAGCAAGAAGTGAAACCCCGTCTCTACTATAAATAGAAAGAATTAATTGCCAACTATATATATAGAAAAAATTACCCGGGCATGGTGGCACATGCTTAGTCCAGCTACTCGGAGGCTGAGGCAGGAGGATTGCTTGAGCCCAGGAGTTTGAGGTGCTGTGAGCTAGGCTGATCCCACGGCACTCACTATAGTCTGGGCAACAAAGTGAGACTCTGTCTCAAAAAAAAAAAAAATTGCTAAATGCCACTGTGGATATGCCCGCTGTTACTCCTACCCCTTCTCCTAGCTATGTTCCAGTTTGGGGCTACCATAAAGAAAGCTTCTGTGAACATTCATGGACAAGTGCTGGTGTGGGCAAAGGTTTCCATTTCTCTTGGGTAAATATTTAGGAGTGGAATGGCTTCGTCCTATGGTAAGTGTAAGTTTAACTTTTAGGAAACTGCAAAACTGTTTTCCCAAGGCGTTCTACCATTTTGCATCACAATCAGCAGTCTGGGGACCTCCAGTTTCTCCAGGTCCTTAGAGAACATCTGCACTGCTGTCCTAGGGCTGCCGTGGGAGGTGCTTCTGCCGAATCTCGGGGATCCACAGGGGCATGGTGCTACCTGCCAGGCACCCCCACTTCTCCTGGAAACTCACGAGCTCAGGAGACCCAGCCCCTCACCGTCTGTGCAGTGGCCCAGAGGGTGGGGTCAGCTGCCCTCGCGGGGACTGGAGAGCCCATGGGCAGAGGTGTTCCATCACCTGCAGGGACACAGTGCACCCCCAGGGACCCCTCCCAGGGCCAGAGATGATAATGGATAATAGTGAGTCTGTACTGAGCATTTGCTACGTGCTGGGCATGGGGCCGTACAGTCATTACATTGCAGAGTGGGCTGGGGTTTCCAGAAAACTTAAAATTCTGTCGGTGGCATTTTGTGTCTGTTGGGCGCTGCTGCCCTGGACAAAAGTCTTCTCTCTGTATCAATACTGCACATTTTAATGTATACAATGCGAAACTTTCAACCATGGCACAGACCACGGAAATTGTCTCACCAACAGACGTCCTAAGTGGGTCGCCTGTCCCCTGTGCAACCCTCCCTCCCTTGCCGCATTACCAAGTGCCCACCTGCTTCTGTCCCTGTGATTATCTGCTTTTTCTAGTTTTCTTTAATGGAATCAAGCAGGTACTTTCTGAGCGAAGTCTGAGCTTTTTACTCAGCACATTATTTTTGAGATTGCATCCATACGTAAATCAATAGCTCATTGTTAAATTGCAATGGGCCTTTAATTCTAGCACTCGTGAGGCTGAGGTGGGATTGCTTAGCGTCAGGGTTCGAACCAGCTGAGCAAGAAGTGAAACCCCGTCTACTATATAAATAAAGAGAATTAATGGCCAATATATTATGAACAAAATCCCGCATGGTGGCACATGCCTGTAGTCCTAGCTACTCGGAGTGAGGCAGGAGGATTGCTTGAGCCCAGGGTTTGAGGTTGTGAGCTAGGCTGATCCCACGGCGACTCACTTAGTCTGGGCAACAAAGTGAGACTCTGTCTCAAAAAAAAAGAAAAATTGCTAAAATGCCACTGTGGATATGCGGCTGTTTACTCTCTTCCGAACTCCTGACCTCGAGCAATCCGCCCGCCTCGGCCTCCCAGAGTGCTAGGATTACAGGTGTGAGCCACTGCGCTCGACCTGGAAGTCAGTTTTAAAAAGGACAGTCTCTAAGCGCATGGTTACAAGATGACTACCACAACGGTGACCCAGAGCATGAGAGGTGTGAGGAGGGGGTTCCGGTTGTCCCACAGCTCTGGCAAGAGACCTGACCAGGGCACGTGGACGTGCTTCCACACCGTGACTTCCTCGTCCCTTGGAAGGACAGAGGCCACCAATAAGTCACAGAGCTCAGCATGTGGGCAAAGGGAATGGGAAGAGGAAGGGGGGCGGGAGTCAGGGACGTTGGCTGCGGGGCCCCCAGACAGCGTCAGATTCAGAGGCGCCACCTCCCTGGCACTTCTGATCCCCTACACTCACAACCTAATCCAGCCTCTGTCAGTTCCTCACGCCTCCCTCCTAGAATGGAGGTTCCACCCCACAGAGCTCCCCCCCGTTTTGTGCTCGGACCTATCTCCGTGCCTGGGCCGGCACACAGTGCTGAGTAGGTTGATCAATAAACATCCAGGGATGGAGGGTTCCCAGCACCAATCACCAACACCTCTGCACCCGGGTGTGAAATGTCAATTCACCATTTACCGACATTCCACACACCCAAAGATCCCTGTGGCCCTTGGTGTGACACCAGGACACTGGTGTATGTTGTTGGGTTCTAAGTTCCACAAACCAGGCTGGGCGATCAGTCAGATTTGCAGTTTTTAGTGTAGAAGGGGTCGGGAGGGAGAACACATGGGCCGCTGTTTTCCCTCTTCCAGGTATTAAAAAAGGAAAGGGCCAGACCTGGTCACTAACCCGGAAGCTGGAATTTCGTCGTCATCCTGGCCCTCTGTGACCGTTGAGGCTGGCACTGCTTAGATGGATCTGTCCCAGGCAAGAAGAGCAGGAGGCCAGGAAACCAGTGTTTTCTGGGAAAGAGCTCTGAACAAGGGCTTGGTGAAAAACTATGACTTTATTTAATTAAAAACAACATAAAAAAAAAACAGAACTAAAGAAACTGCATAAATGGCCAACATTTGAAAACAGAGCTCTTCCCGCTGCAGGCTACCTTCTCCAGTGCCGATGACAGGGCCTCGTGGCACCCCAGAGAGGATGTAGGCAAAGCTGGGCACACATCTGGGCCGCTCCGGAGAGTCTGGAATGTTCCAGGAAGTGAGTGTTCCATAAGGGGCTCCCCTCTGTGTGGCCGGGGCGGGGCTGGTGCAGGGTCCTATCTCCCGTCCCCCACTGTGATGCAGCACAGGAACCGGCCACACCAGCATGTCCAGGTCACTGTCATGTCCCCAACGATGTGACAGTCATCTGGTAAGAACCTATCCCACAGTAATGGGCATTGGTGTCACTTCCCTCTCAGGCTACGGAGGGCCCAGAGCTCAGTATTTCCTACACAAGCAGAGGTCCCCATCCGTTGCCAATCGCTCCGCTGGCTGTTGTGGCGGAGTAGTTGCCAGTCTGTCCTAGACATCAGTGTCCTGGGGTAGCCAGGACAAAGGTGGTCACCTGGGTCTTTGTCCCTCAGTTCTGGGGCCCTGGATTGAGAGGCTGGAAACAGGACAGCTCCCCCATAGCTGAAGCTCCCCCAACAGCCGGGCTTGCTCCTGGCCCCCTGGGCTCACTGCTCCAGGTCTCCATGGTGCAGGGATCCTGTCCTTGGGTGCAGGACTGAGGCTCAGAGGCTGTCTCCCTTTTGTTCCAGGGTAAATAGGAGACAATAGTGAATCCCCTCCCTTGCAGGCTTGTCTGTGCGGGAACCAGCCCTACACCATGTACAGAGGTATCTAGAAAGCTCAGCTTCCACTGGTGCAGGTCTGGCTCCGGAGGTAGATCTTGGAGTCTTACCGTCCACACGTCCTTAGGGTCCATCAACACTTTCCAGTGCTGTTCCGGGGTCCTCACAGCCCAGCGTGGAGTCATCTTCCGGAGGTAGACGGCATCATAGTAGCCCATCATGGAGAAAACCTGCAGGCCCAGTAACCAGGCCTCAGTCTCGGCAGGGCTCACTGCCCAGGTGGGGCACAGCTCCAACACCATGGGCTCCCCTGGGGGCAGGTTCACACTGAGAAACCCCTGCCATGAAGGAGTGCAGCTGGGCCAGTGTGAGCAGGCAGGAATGTACCCAAGTCTCCAGGGAAGGGCCTGGGTCCAGTCAGCATCCACGGGGGTAAGTGGCCCTGAGTGATGGTTCAGGGCGGCCCCTTCTGCCACCTGTGGGCTTGATGCTAGGGTACCCTGCCCCCCAGCCTGGGAGCCCTCTGGTGCAGACTGTCCTGGGCCCTGCTCCAAGCTTGGCCCCGTCCCTGAGGCCCCCTCCTGCTCAGCCCCTGCCTCAGTGTCCTCCATCAGCTCAGAGTCCGAGTCCTCATCTTCCCAGTCTTCCAAATCCAGCAAGTCTTTAAAGTCCAGATAGGCTTCCTTGAAGCAAGCAAAGCACAGCTTGAGTGGGTTTCCATGTTGGAGGTCATACAGCCAGGCAGCGTAGAGGTAGGACATGCCCTGCTGCCAATATCGCACGCTGACTGGGGGGCACATGGCCAGGCCGTCGCCTCCTCCTAGCGGGGTGGACGGCAAGAGCAGGGCTTGCTAGGGGGTGCTAGAAGTCTGGCCACAGGGCTGGGGCCAGTGAGATGCTGGGGATAGGGCGGAGAGGGATGGGGAGCAAGAAGGAAAAGCAGAGAATAAGGAGGAAGCAGAGAAAAGGGCTTTTTGTCCAGGCACTTGGGGTGGGGGTGGATGTACTGGGTCCAGCTCAGTGGGGATCTGCAGAGGTGGGGAAGTCTGAACTTCTGGAAATTTCTTCAGCTTCTCCAATGGCCTTTGGCTCTGGTAGCTGCAAAGGCAAAGGGAGCAAGGTTAGGGTTCCCAGCAGTAGGGGGGAGTGGGTCGTGCTGGCTCACCAGGGTAGGGAGTGTGGGGGTTCAGACGCCCCCTGAGGATCCTGTGGAGCCCCTAACTGCGCTGGGGCCCTTGAACCCACGTCCCTCACCAGCCTGGTCTGACAGACCCTCAGGGAGCCTGACAGAAACTGCTGGAACCCGACAGACCCTGTGGGACCCCAACAGAACCTGCTAGAACACGACAGACCCAGAGGGAGCCCGACAGAAACTGCTGGAACCCGACAGGCCCTGAAGGAGTCCAACAGAACCTGCTAGAACCTGAAAGACCCTGAGGGAGCCCAACAGAGCCTGCTAGAACCCAACAGATCCTGAGGGAGGCTGACAGAATGAGCTAGAACCTGAGGGAACCCGACAGAACCTGCTAGAACCCGAGAGACCCTGAGGGAGCCCGACAGAACATGCTAGAACCTGCAAGACCCTGAGGGAGCCCAACAGAACCTGAGGGAGCCCGACAGAACCGGCTAGAACCTGAGGGAACCCAACAGAACCTGCTGGAACCAGCAGACTCTGAGGGAACCCGACAGAACCTGCTAGAACCCAACAGAACCTGAGGGAGTCCGACAGAACCGGCTAGAACCTGAGGGAGCCCGACAGAACCGGCTAGAACCTGAGGGAACCAAACAGAACCTGCTGGAACCAGCAGACCCTGAGGGAGCCCGACAGAACATGCTAGAACCTACAAGACCCTGAGGGAGCCCAACAGAACCTGAGGGAGCCCGACAGAACCGGCTAGAACCTGAGGGAGCCCGACAGAACCGGCTAGAACCTGAGGGAGCCCGACAGAACCTGCTGGAACCAGCAGACCCTGAGGGAGCCTGACAGAACCTGAGGGAGCCCAACAGAACCTGCTAGAACCCAACAGAAACTGAGGGAGCCCAATAGAACCTGCCAGCACCGGCAGACCTCGAGGGAGTCCGACAGAACCGGCTAGAACCTGACCGAACCTGAGGGAGCCCAATAGAACCTGCTGGAATTGGCAGATCCCGAAAGAGCCAGACAGAACCCAACGGAACATGTGGGAACCCAACAGACCCCGAGGGAACCCAACACAACCTCAGGGAAACTCTTCCCAGCCCCACCCCCACAGCTGGCCCGAGGCACCAGGGGGTCCACTGTGGCGCTCAGGCCTCCCAACCCGTCGCCCAGCGCCAGGCCGGGCCCCAGACGCCTCCCTGGGAGCCCCTCACCCGCACTGACGCCTCAGCTCCCGCGGGCACCAGGGAAAGGGGGAGCCGCAGCTGCTTGGGTATATATAAGACCGTTTCCCATGATGCCCTGGGCTCATCTACATATCTCCCATGAGCCTCAGTTTCCAGGAAGAGAAAGTGCTGAGTCACTGACTGCCTCAAGTGGGGCCACGTGCAGCGCAGGGGGCAGGAGCCCTCCGGGAAGTCTGCTCCCTGGGGGCTGGGGGGACTCGCGCTCCGCCTGGGGTCTGCAGGGAGCGTCCACCCCAGGGAGCCGTCCCTTCGCAGAACCCGGGGCTGGGTGCTGTCCTGGTGTGAAAACCGGGGGTTCCTTCTCTGCTGTCACTTTGTTGAAGTTCTTTATGGGTTTCTGAAACTGATCACTTGTCAATTACACCTTAAATGCATTTCTCCTTTGTGTTTTCATCTTTTCTCTTCCTTTAAAAGTCTCTTGGGTATGGTCAAATGTATCAATCTCTTCTTTGAGAAAGAGGTTTTTTTTTTGGTCTTTGTTAGTAGCACCTGCCATACCCCAATGTCACAATGTTAGTTTAAGGTGTTTTTCTCTTATTCTTTTGTAGTTTTGTTTTTTCCTTTGCATCTTTTTAAAAAAAAAAAAAAATTTTTTTTTTTTTTTTTTTGGGTTCGTGGCAACAGAGTCTTGCAGTGGGGGAGAGAGACTGGGCTCAGCCCCCTGCTTATTAGTGTTTTATTTAAATAGAAGTTGATTTTATGAAGAATGCAAAAATGTTGATAGATGATTTTTGAAATCATTTGCCAAATTCATCAGGCCACTCAGACTTTGGGCTGAACTTCCCTCTCTGCATCCAACCGCACCTGTACCGTCTCTGCCAGCATGTCTAGGGTCATCTCACGTGGACCAGTGTGGTCTGGGCTCCTGGTCAGCGGCTGGCCTGGGATGGGCAGTGAGGGCAGGAGGAAGACCCCACGTGTCTCTGGAGTTAGATGGCAGCAAAGGTCCTCCTATCAGCGGCTCACAAATTTTTGCTGCACATTAAAATTGTCTTGGGAGCTTCGAAAGTCCCAATGGCATGTCACACTGTGCGGCAGACACAGCTAAGGTGACCCCAGTGAGTCACACCGTCCCTGTGATTAGGGCCAGAAAGGTGGCTTGCTTCTCATTGGTAGAAGAGGCCAGGGTGATGGATGTCACCCCTCAATTATGTGGTTAAATACACACAGTATAGCAAATGTGTTTTGTTTTAGGTCACTAAGGGTTGGTAATTTGCTATACAAGAATAGAAGACTAACATCCACCTATAGCAGTTTCATCAGAATTCTCCAGTGGGATACAGGCATCTCTGTATTTTTAAACCATCCAGATATGTCTGATATGCTGCAGTTTGACAACCATTACCTAGACCACCAGGTGAGGTTACAAGTTTTAGCAGCTTGTGGGCACCTGAAACCCCTTCCTCCTCCCAGCCAAGCTGGGCCTAGGTGAACCAATGCCCTGCCCGTCTCCCCAGCCCAGGTGGTCTAGGAGCCTCCCAATCGCACCCACCTGGGCCCAGACCTCTCTGCTGGGACCCACCCCAAGCTGGAAAGCATGTCCAATGGATTTGAGGTTTGAACCAGGGGAAAGATATAACAAAACAAAAAGAAACAAAAACCAGATAGTTTCTTAACACACAGAGACTCCTAACTTCGTTGGTCAGTTTTCCAAGACACCAGCTTGAGAAACTAAATCTTCTGCTGAAACAGTTTGAAAATCCACTTGTGACAAGAGACAGACGGACGGTGGCTCCTGGCCCGAGGCCCCCACGCCGTCAGGCTGGGCCCTGGAGGTGGAGCCTGGAGGTCCACACGGAAGGGGGTCCAGGTCTCAGCTCTGCTTCCACACGCCTCACCAACACGGGGAAAGAGACCAAAAAACCGGCCACCATTTGTCTCGTCTCCATGCCCCTCCCTCTCCAGGGATGTTGCTTCTCCTTTGGGTGAAGTGGGGGGACGGTTCCCAGGACGCTCTGGGCGCATGTCCACTGAACCCCAAGACTGAGGGCCGAGTGTGGGGAGCCCCCCAGGTGCTGGGCCAGGCCCTGGAGCAGCAGGTTCCCGGGAGTGGTGGGAGCAGCTCCCACCTCCCCCTGCAGAGCGGGGCCCAGGGCCCCAGCTACCAGGCACTGCGGGAACCGAACTTTTCATTTTGCTCTGTTGATGGCTGAAAATGGTATCTCGCTCTTCTGTTCTGTGTCGGAATTGTGGGTTTTTTGGTATTTCTCCTGTGGCTTCTGCCTTTACGTCTCTGTTGCCTGTTCTGGTGTTTCGACCATTTCTGTGTCAGTTGAGTTGTTCTTTTTTTCCTTCCCTTCACTGTGGTAGTTCTTCATTGATCACAGAATCCAGATCATACATAAAATGTTTAAATATTATTGCCCCTTTCCTGGATTGCATTTCCACCTTGCATGGAATTTATTTTGTCCTGCACAGGTCTCTGTGTGTGAGGCGGAGCAGAGTGTCCATCCTTCCCTTTAATGTCTGTTTTTTGGTGTATTTTAAAAGAGAACCTTCATTCTTCAAAGCCATAACATTATTTTCTTGTATTTTCCCTTTTTAAACTTTACTTCCTTGGTTTCTCAACTTAATCTTTAAAAGTCTGCTTGGAATTTGCTTCTGTGAATGTTACATAAGGATGTGTGTGTCTTTTTCTCAGTCACTTTTCTTGCAAAGCCCATTTAAGTGTCCGTGGCAGGTGGGTGCATCCGGCTCTGCCCAGTTGTCTGTCAGGAACATCCAGTGAGCTTCTCAGCAGTTCCCTAAGCTGAGCTCCTGCCGGGATGGTGCACACGCTCTGAGGAAGGCAGACTCCCATGATGCAGTTTGGCCTCTCATATTACGGTGCACGCGAAGTTCTAGATGTCGGTGCTGGGTGAAAGTTCGCGTCGAGACGGCGCGGTGCTCACGGCCGTGATCCAGCACTCTGGAGGCCGTGGCAGGCGAGGTCGCTCAAGGTCAGGAGTTCACGACACCAGGCTGAGGCAAGAGCAAGACGCCCGTGCTGGCTGATATAAATAGAAAGAATTAATTGCAACTATATACATAAGCAAACATTAGTGTGGCATGGGCACATTCCTTGAGTCCCAGTGCTACTCGAGCTGGCGGGGAGGAGTCCGCTTGGAGCCAGGGTTGAGGGTTGCTGTGAGCTAAGCTGACTCAGCACTCTAGCCCGGGCAAACAGAGGAGACTCGTGTCTCATAAAATAAACAAACAACCGACAAATGCACATTGACAATGTAAAATCTGTGAATTTCCGTGGCCTGGCTGGATGCAAAGAACCAGGAGAAAACATGAAGCTCGTCCTTGAGATATTTGAGGAAGTTTAAAATTTTTAGAAGAGACACAGCAGCAGCTGCTCCAGGTCACCCTCCGTCGTCTGGACATTGGGGCCGCAGCTCTCTCCTCTGCGCTGGCCACGCGGATGCCTGGTGGCTCAGCGCCAGCAGGTCAGCTGCAGGACAGGGACCCCAATGGCTGGTTCCCCAGGGGGCGCGCTGGAAATCTGGGAGGACCTGAGGTCCGGGGCTGGACCCAGCAAGCCTTCTGGAGGCGAGCACCAGCGGCCTGCCCGCGTCACTACGTGCATCTCTGTCTGTCATGTCGTCTGGATGCCCCGGTGATGTAAGATGATGGAGGCCAGGCGGAGGGATCCGCTGGCCTGCCTCTTTGGGTTCCGCGTCCTGGCCTCGACTGCCCTGCCAGGAGTCTGCGGGCCCAGGGTCGAGCCAGTGCAGGCTCCCAGGAGCTCTGGGCTGCTGGTGTGAGCTGATTGGGCTGTAGGTGCCCCATTGATTTTCAACTAATTCTCATTTCTCACCCTTCTTGTAGCTTAATTTGCTGCCTGTTCAAGTGATCACATTATGTCTTTCTGTATGGCAGCCTGGGAGCTTGCAGGGATCTTCCTGGTCGTTTGTTTTTTTAAGTTATCATGAGGTCACACCACACATAACTGCACTTTTTTTTTGAGACAGTCTCCACTCGTTGCCTGGCTAGGAGTGCCGTGGCACGAGCCTAGCTCACGCAGCAAACCCTCGGACCTGGGCCAGCGATCCTCCCTCAGGCCTCCGAGCTAGGCTGGACTACAGGCATGGCCACCATGCCCGCTAATTTTGTCTCTATATATTTCGTTGTCCAGCTAATTTTCTATTGAGGTTAGGACGGGTTGCCTCTTGCGCAGGCTGGGGCTCAAACGCCTGAGCTAACAAGCCACCTGCCTGGCTCTCCAGGATCCTAGGGTACAGGGTGTGAAATAACTCACATTTAATGTATACAAGCCGAATACTTCACGAGCACATGCACAGAAGCCAGGACATGTCTCACCAGCCATACGTCCTAATGGGTGGCCTTCCCCCTGGGCAACCCCTGCCCGCGTGCCACCCAAGTGCACCCACCTGCTTCGGGGTTCGCCGGTGATTATCTGCTGTTTTTAGGGTTTTCTATTAATGGATATCAAGGACTAGTACTTCTGAGACGAAGCTCTGGCTCTTGTTACTCAGCACCAGTTATTTGACTCACCATACGAAATCAGTGTCATGTTAAATGCTAAATGCGCCTTAATCCTAGCACTCGGAGCTGAGGTGGGCCGGGGAGTGCTCTAGTCAGGAGTGGGGAAAGCCAGCCTGAGCAAGATAGACCCGCTTCTACTATAAAGAAGAATTAATTGGCCGAACGGAACTAGATGATATAGAAAAAATTACCGGCATGGCTGGCACATGCCTGAGCCTGGCTACCGGAGGCTGAGCGAGAGGGAGTTGCTGGGCCCAGGCAGTTGGTGCTGGTGAGCAGGCGGATCCCACGGCACTCCTCTAGTCTGGCAACGAAGTGAGACTCGTCTCAGAAAAAAAAAAATTGCAAATGCCACTGATATGGCCCGCGTTTACTCCTTGCCTCCTACTATGTTCACAGTGGCTACTAAAGAAGGTTTTGAACATTATGACCAAGTGCTGGTGGGGGCAAAGTCATTCTCTTGGTAATTTAGGATGGAAGCTTCGTCCTATGTAAGTGTAAGTTACTTTAGGAAACTGCAAAACTGTTTCCCAAGGTCTACCATTTGCACACAACCAGCAGCTCTGGGACTCCAGTTCTCCAGGTCCTTAGAAGAACATCTGCACTGCTGTCCTAGGGCCGGGGTGCTTCTGCCGAATCCGGGGACCACAGGGACGCACCTGCCAGCACCCCCCCTTCTCCTGAACTCACGAGCTCAAGAACCCAGCCCGCACCGTCTGTGCAGTGGCCCAGAGGGTGGTCAGCTGCCCTCGCGGGACGGAGAGCCAGGCAGAGTGGTTCCATCCCTTGCAGGGACACAGTGCCCCCCAGGACCCCTCCC